TTCTCTCTGTAAATGGAAACCATCCTCACGGAGACGATTACGCACTCAACAAAAACAGTGATGCCAATGGCGTTCCTCATGTGATGTCTACTGTGGTGATGATGACTTGCTGCAGGAGAACCCTGTTTCCCGCTGTGTTGTGGAACGATGTGGCCCACCTACATACGGTTGGGTGTACAGATCCAAAGGTATAGCTCCATGCACTGCTGCTAGGCTGACACCAAGGACGCTTGCAAGCGTGACCTTTGTTTCCAGCATTCCTGTGAATCTGGCAACGTCTAAGACTACATGACGAGCCGCCTGTAACTGTACTCTGGCGATTGTTGTTGTACTGTCTAATAATGATGTGCAACGATAGATCGAAACACCTTCGTATTGACTGTGTCCGTTAATCCCGATACTGAGGTCCATCATTACTTCATTTTTAACTTTATTCTCAGCAATCTTTGAGTGGTATATGCAAGATAAGAATCAAATTGTTGCTATACCTTAAATATACAAAATGTACCTGGCATGTGGAGGACACGTAGTTCACTCATATCTCACACTACGGGCACACGTAGTTCACACATATCTCACACTGAGCACACGTAGTTCACACATATCTCACATACAGAGCACACGTAGTTCACACATATCTCATACACAGCACGCGTAGCTCACACATATCTTACACACAGAGCACACGTAGTTCACTCACATATCTCACACACACACAGAGCACACATATCTCACACACAGAGCACACATATTTCACACATTTAGCACACAGTTCACACACATATCTCACACACAGAGCACATGTAGTTCACACACATATCTCACACACAGAGCACACGTAGTTCACACATATCTTACAGACAGAGCACACGTAGTTCACACATATCTCAAACACTGAGCACACGTAGTTCACACACATATGTCATACAGAGCACACGTAGTTCACACACATATGTCACATCAAAGCACACGTAGTTCACACATATCTCACGGATTGAGCACACGTAGTTCACACATATCTCACACACAGAGCACACGTAGTTCACACATATCTCACACATTGAGCACACGTAGTTCTCACACATTGAGCACACGTAGTTCACACACATATCTCACACACAGAGCACACGTAGTTCACACATATCTCACACACTGAGCACAAGTAGTTCACACATACCTCACACACATTGAGCACATGTAGTTCACACATATCTCACACACAGAGCACACGTAGTTCACACATATCTCACACATTGAGCACAAGTAGTTCACACATACCTCACACACAGAGCACATGTAGTTCACACATATCTCACACACAGAGCACACGTAGTTCCCACATATATCACAGACAGAGCACACGTACTTAACACCCACTTCACACATAATGCACTCGTAGTTCACACTTAGCACACACAATCTAAATAGCTCATATTTACCTACAAGTGGCACCCTACGTAACCAGCTTGCAGATAAAGCGTTGTTAAAACTATAAATACACAGACGTACAACACACAAGGCCATACGTATGATGGGTACCTAACAAGTAGGACACACTTGTATTTCACAGATAGTACGCATGGCTTTCACATACTCGCGCTTGTTGCTCACGTGTACTCGTAAATCATGTGTAGCATACGAGTATTTCAAAGGTAGCACTGATGTAGCTCAAGCACTGAAAACAGTTAACACACACGCAGAACACACATTGCACGTACGTCACACACATATATAACACACGTGGTTCACACATAGCACACATGGTTCACGTGCACAAACACGTTGCTCCAGGGCAGCGTACGCACATTATTTTTAGTGTCTGTTGTTTGCGTATTGTTACCCATTTGTGACCTGCACACACGAACCAATGTCAGGTCGCAGGATCACAGTTTACTGTCACCAGATAACTGTTATGAAATCGTGTTCTAACGAACCTGTAACTGAATATAGTTTAAACAGTGGGACACATTTTTCATTCTGAAAAAGTGCATGTGTGGACTTACACCGATCAGATGAGGATGATCACAACTATAATGTAATGCCGTACACGTTCATGGTCCTAGTTATTTCCGATATTTAAATGTCACAATCCACACTCACGTGTGACTAGTTGTGGTACGAATCTGTTTCAACTGTCACGCACACATATGTCGACATTTAATGCTTGTCACTGCTTATATTTCAAAGCAATCTGGCGTTTAAGCAGTTTGAGCAAACGGTCGGGCATGGGGATTCATGTTCCTAGGAGTCTTTTACGATAACTTGTTATTCGGGATTGAAGGGTCGGGAGGCTTCGCTTTGTATTTTGTGGCCGAAAAAGATGTAAATGTGGACATACCTGGAAACCTGGAACAACATTTTGCAGACACCCCCCAACACACACATCCCCCACTCCCCCCAACGTGACGTGTGTTTGTGTTTCTACGTACAGTTAATCGTTCTCGCGTTGAAGCAGGTTTCGAGCTGAGTGTGAACAAATGACAGCGCACAAAGTTCTTTACTGAGACAAAACATATCTCAACATATTTTTAGCCGAAACAGTCTCTCAAAGTCATTATGTTTGTGTTATGGACATGTTACCCTCATCGTCAACCCACGCCGCGTGCAGTTTAAGAAGAACATATCAGGTGCAAAGTTTAAGAAAAAGTCTAAGAGATCTTCACACGCCATATTGACAAAAAGTTCAGATTTATGTTAAGAGTATTTCTATGCTTACTATTTTTTCTGTTCTTTACACAATTCTTTACTCTTGAAATGAAAGAAGTCGTTACACAGTTGAATCGAGGTTAAGTGGACTATCTTGTACGATGGGATCAGACTGTCATGTTCAGTACCATGCCCTTTAACGCCCTCGGGCAGAAAGATAAGCGAAATGTGTGTTGCAATCAAGAGTCCATTGTACAATTTGAACTTTATGGTGAGCTTGTGTATACAAATCACTATCAAATACTGACGGTGCCAGGTGTTCGCGAGAGGGTGTGTGTATGCTGTATACTTTGGAATCCAGTACAACAGAAAATTTCACATGTCATAAAGATAGAGCTAAGCTAAACATTCACTGGTGCGTCGTTCAGGGTCTTCCTTAGTTAATTTTACATTGACTTATTAGCGAGTGTGGAAGTATCACTGAAACCAATAAAGAAAATCATTAAGTCATACTGACTTGTAATGGTTAGGTTATAATGAACAGGTTCATCTTCTGTTTTGGACAATATTGTGGCACACGCTGTAACAGCATCTATGATAATGTTATAGTCGTGATCCCAGTTGATACTAGGCTGTTCGCGATATTCACAACTGTCCACAGCTGTTATTGTCAGTTTGTATATATGGGATTCCACAAGATCGGGTCCTAAATACTGTAGGTCTATTTGTTGTCAGTGGGAACATTCAACACTAGGAAATATCTCTTGGCGTACAACAGCTTGGACATTAAGATTACTTAATTCATTACAAAGAGTTAAAACTCTGGAGGAAACCAGTTCAGCCCCCAACATTCCCAGATCATCGTAATGTCCCCATCACTGAGTTAAATCGGGGTTGAACGTTATTGCAATTGTATAGCGACGAACATGCTGTAATCACGTCTTTGTCTTTGACGCGGGCTCGATCCATTAGATCACAGAGTCGGTCCTAGACCGGTAAGCGGTAAGCGTGCAATCACACATGCTTACTGCTTCTGTGAACTGATCTAACAAAGAGGTTACGTCATCAATTTATCACATGTTGACCGTGTTCCTGTTGTTTGCGATGACATTGAACCTGAACGAAATATCACATTTCATATCAAAATAAACAGGTTACACTGGATTTATTCAAACATTTCCTTGTGCTCCTAGCTGTTTGAAACCTTCCTCAACCACCACGTTAAGTAGGTCCTATATTAATATAACCGTTTCCAGAAATATAGCGACATAAGCAGGCTTCCACATACAGGACAAAGATGTTTTTACCTTCGATCATCCAATGATAATGGGGACGTGTAATGAGGGGATGTGAAGCAGTTTGCAAAAAGGCCATAATAGTTTCTCTAAATCATGGAACCATTTATCTCCGCTGAGTCCATTGGAGAGCTATTTATATAGATTCAGGTGATGGTTAAGTAATAATCCCATGTCTAAGTATGTATTGGCCTTTGATCGTTTACGTATAGGTGAAACGTAGCCTTTTTAATGAGACGATATGGAGTTTCGGCATTGCCTCAATAGACTCTAAAGGAAATCCAATATTCCGGCACAACTGGTGACATCAAGGGATGTCCATGTATGTTTGACAACATCATTGGAGAAAATATTTGGACATATTAGACTGAAATATGCATTAGTCCCATCATGCAGAGATTGTAGTTTCAGAAGAAAGCGCCATTGACACAACTTGCTACCATGCTGACATACAATTAAAAGCATGGCGTTTTGTATTTATAACATCGCACCGCTGAAAATAATCTGTCACTCAGAATCGTTATAATGAAATTTTGATACATTTCTGTTAATATTTCATATAATATGTTACACAAATTCAGTCATCAACAGTCCTTTACGCAAGATAAGAGCCATGTTTAGAAGGCGCGTGTTATTGACTATCTCCACATATATTTTCAGCTAGCGGAGAGGATCAAGAATATGTTTTTTTCGAGATTTCTTAACAGGCATTTATTTTTTCAATGCAATATAATGCCCGGCTTAATGTGGAAATTCAGTTGCAGTAGTGTCATTTCAACAACGATGGAGCAAGGACCGTAGCATTTTACTAAGTCCACACGAAGTATTTCATCCCTGACATTATTATGAATGTTTGTCATTAACGAGACATTGATACTGATCCTTTGCCGTACAGTCACATTCATCGTAGAAAATGATGTAGCACATATATGAATATTGTGTATTGTGTGGCTGTACATGTTCTTTCCTTTTTCACTGTATTTCATATTTAATATCACCAATAAGCAGACAAACATAACCGTTATTACATGTTATTTATAGACCTGTTTTACATTTCAGAGAACAATATCCAGTATGGCTAACAGTGATTCCGCCATGGCGGAAATCCGCCTTATTTTGTCGCCTCAAACAACGTCATATCCAACTGGCCTCGGTTTGAACAATACTGATGTCAGGAACGATAACTCGACCACTGTCACATCGAACGCCAATCAACAGATAAACAAAAGTTTGGCAGAAGCGGAAGTCACGGTGCAGGCCGTCATCCTAGCACTGGCTGTGTTTGGAAATACTTGTGTCTTGATCGCCCTGGCCAGAAGGCGTAAAATCAACAGCAGAATGCACATGTTCATAATGCACCTGAGCATAGCGGATCTGTTGGTAGCATTCTTTAATATTTTACCACAACTGATATGGGATGTGACGCAGAAATTCCAGGGAGGAGATGTTTTGTGTCGCTTTGTGAAGTTCATGCAAGTATTTGTGATGTACCTGTCGACGTACGTGCTGGTGATGACAGCTATTGACCGATATAGGGCTATTTGTCATCCCTTGTCAAACCACAACTGGACAACCAAAACTGTCAATCTTATGATAGCAGGAGCGTATTTCATTGCCGGTGTTTTCAGCATACCCCAGACTCTGCTGTTCAAGTACCAGGAACGTGTCGTTGGTACTGGAGACTTTGATTGTTGGGTCCACTGGGATCCACCCTGGATCCTTCAGCTGTACATTACAACATTCACATTCCTGGTCTATGTCATTCCGTTTTTAATTCTTGTTTTTGCATACGGGTCAATATGCTACACAATTTGGTCCAAATATAGAGTGACGCGTGAACCCCTGTTAAAAAGGGAGGTAACGAATGGTGCTGTTGGTCACATGATGTACACTTCATCTAGTCCGAGTCCGGGAAGGACATTTGGATATAGGGATGGCGGAATGCATCCAAGATCACATTCCAGTAGAGGTTTCTCCAGAGCCAAGCTGAAGACAGTGAAGTTAACATTTGTAGTGATCCTTGCCTACCTTGTCTGCTGGTCTCCATTCTTCATCTCCCAGCTGTGGTGGCTATACGATGAGTCGGCTCCGATGTCAAGTGAGTCCATGTCGTCCATCATATGAAAAGTTTAATCAATAATTTTTAAATTCAGTCTGTTTTCCACGAAAGTTTTATTTTCAAAGATGTTTTCACTATGTTTCTCATGAGAAATCATGATGCCATCTGATGTCTGATGACAAAACTGCACTTGGCGTTAGTGTATCTGCAGACAGAGGATATCACATTACAGTCACGTCTGAAGAATGTAGAGAATAGCATACGATCAATACTGATAATCTCTCCTGGATTTACTTTGTCGCGATACTTCATATTACTTCATGAGGGGCAGATAATGTACCCGGTGTACTCGTAAGATCTTCTATATATTCTCCATAGTCCTTTCTGCCCCAGAACATGCAGAACAATGACAACAGAAACGTTCCACGCCTCCCGTTTAAACGCACAACGTTACTTATAGAGATAAAATGAGATTATATGCGTCCTCCAACTTCAACAGGGACTGTAGGGTAGCCTAGTGGTTAAAGCGTTCGTTCGTCACACCGAAGACCCAGGTTCGATTCCCCACATGGGTACAATGTGTGAAGCCCATTCCTGGTGTCCCCTGCCGTGATATTGCTGGAATATTGCTAAAACCCGGCGTAAGACTAAACTCCGACTACAACACGTATCACCCTACCATAAAGGAAGGCGAGTAATGAAAACGAGCGATACAAAGCGATGATAGATCTCATCAGATCTCTCCAGAACTTAGTGTAAAAAATATTGCCACAACAAATTTCGAATGTCGCATGCCTATATTAGACTTTTAGAGGGACTTAACCTCACTGCAGTACCACCTGTGATCAATATGGAGGATTGAATTAACTGTCAGCGGAGCTTTGTTAACAGAGCCTAAGGTATTGTGAGGGACAAATATTAAACGTCAACGCCAGAAAATAATCAGTTGTGATTATCTACAGAAACAGATTTCATTCGCTGTTGGGTTTGTATGAGCGAGTCAGTGAAAATGAGTGATGGGATGAGTTGTTCTCGACAAATGACAAGCATGTACTGCCCTGGCGGTAGTATACGTGTAGCCCTGGCACACAATGCCAACTGTTTGTTACGTCGCGCCAGATACCCCGACCATACAAATGCTAGGGGAAACAAAATGTTCCTGGACATGAAAGGAAGTAAGTGAGTTAGTTATTATTTAACGTCACATCGGCAATATTGCAGCCATAGAGAGAACAGATTTGACATTGAAATTTAAATTGTGTATATCATAAAAACCTGTCTGCAAAGGACAGTAAAACAACTAGAATATCACAATTACAACTAAAACTAGTGTGGAAATTTAAAACTGATAGCACTATTTGGACAATACAATATAAAAACTGGCTATAGATCGCCAACCACTGAAGGTAGATCACCATACTAGGGACCATGGGAACTTACAGTACTTTTGCTACCTGCATGGGCCCTAGCTGGATTTATATCATCCCTTCAGCCGCTGGCGATTGAAGTCAAATTTAGCCTAAATTAAAATAAAAAAAATACTACATTTAAAACAACTGGTAAATATAAATTTCCTTTGAATGTTTCGGGACTTACGTACCCTCTAAGGAGGACAATAATTTTACGCTACTTCAACCCCCTTTGAGGGTACAGCCACTAACATTCTCAGTTACTAATTTAAACTACCAATAATAAAATATGCATCTATTTACAAATCATTTAACAAATCTGCAATAATTATATGAGAACTTATATTATTAAAAGGATCCTTCATAGTTCGTGATTTGAAATAGTTATCCCTTGTGATGGAATATTCAACACAGTCAAGCAAGGCATGGTTGACCGTGATTCTTTCATCACAAGGGATGCAAAACGGAGGATCCTCACCTTTCAATAGGAATTCATCCGTATATCTTCTGTGGCCAATACGACATCGTCGTATAATGACCTCTTCAAATCTGGACTGACAACCCAAGTAGGTGTAACCAATATAGGGTTTTATTTCATGTAATTTATTAATAGCCACTTGGGTGTCCCACTTCTTTTGCATCAGATCACGGATATAAGATCTAATAGCAGCTTTATAATCAGACTATGGGATCAGAAGACGTGTCACAGATTTGTTGAGTGCTGCCTTGGCAGCAGGATCGGCCATTGTGTTCCCAGAAAAGCCAACGTGGCTGGGTAACCAACAAAAGACGATGTTGCATTGGCCAGTAGCAACCTCATTATACAATTCAATAATTTCTAATAAAAGTGAATGTTTACAAGAAAGATTTTTAATAGCCTGAAGACACGAAAGAGAATCGGAAAAGATTATGTATTGTTTATATTTACGGTGTTTATTAATATATTTAAGAGCTGTTAATATGGCGTTAGCTTCTGCTGTGAAAATAGAGCTGTGATCTGGTAGTCGAGAAGATATTGTTCCGGATCCAATGACAGTGGCACATGCCACCGCGCCACCATCCTTGGACTCATCTGTAAATAAGGATTTGTATGTATTATATTTATTTTTTAATTGATTATATTCTTGTTTATATTGTAAGTCATTAGTTTCAGATTTCTTAAACTTTGTCAGAGTTAGGTCAACTTCAGGCCTCACCAGTTGCCAAGGAGGAGAAGAAATAAGACGGGAAGGAGATAAATTTTCCAGCTCAATGCTGGCAGCAGAAATGAATGGTTTAATTCTTAAACCAAGAGGCGGAACATGAGAAGGCTTTTTGTTGTACAAATCCTCATAAAGAGGATTAAAGACACAGTTAAATGCAGGGTTAGAAAATTGTGTTATATACTGCAAGGACAATTTTATACGGCGTTGTGTAAGAGATGGCTCATCGGCCTCGACGTAGAGACTGTCAAGAGGAGAGGTTCTAAAAGACCCAAGACAAAGTCTTAGACCTTGGTGGTGGACAGAATCAAGTAGTTTTAGGTTGCTTTTGCCCACTCCACCATACACGATAGAGCCGTAATCAAGTTTCGAGCGGACCAATGGTCGATATAGGTGGAGGAGGGTAGTTTGATCCCCTTCCCACTTTGAGTTGGAAACAACTTTCAACAAATCGAGTGCCTTCAGGCATTTGGCTTTAAGTGATTTAATATGCGGCAAAAAAGTTAAATGGGAGTCGAAAATTAGACCCAAGAACTTGGCCTCCTTTACAACTTTGATGGGAGTGCCATTTAAAGATAGTTCTGGGTCGTTATGAGGCTTATATTTTCTACAGAAGTGTATACAATTAGCTTTTGACTTAGAAAATTTAAAGCCGTTTTCAAGAGACCATGTATTTATTTTAGTTAAACACTTCTGCAGTTGCCGTTCAATAGTATGCATATTCTTACCGCGACAAGAATATTAAAATCATTCACAAAAAGGGATCCATCAATTGAATCGTTTAAAACCTTGGATAAACTGTTGATCTTGATGCTAATCAGTGTGACAGACAAAATACTACATTGTAATGATCAGACAGGGTTGAACCCACTCGGACTTGAAATTGCCTATCTTTTAAAAACTGTGATATAAAAAGAGGCAAACGGCCTCTCAAACCAAAATCATGTAAATCCTTGAATCCTTCCTTCCAGGTCGTATCATAAGCTTTCTCAAGATCAAAGAAAATTGATACAGCATGTTGTATATTTACTACAGCATTTTTAACAAAGGATTCTAAACGTACCAAATGATCAATGGTACTACGATTTTTCCTGAAACCACACTGAATATTTGTTATAAGGTTATTGGTTTCAAGATACCAAGTTAATCTATTATTCACCATACACCCCATGGTTTTACAGACACAGCTAGTTAGAGATATCGGTCTGTAATTCGACGGATCTGTATGATCCCTGTCAGGTTTTGTTTTTGGGACTACAATGGCATTACGCCATGAAGGAGGAAATTCTCCAGACGTCCATATTTGGTCAAATATATCTAAAAGTGTCATCAGACATGGTTCAGGTAAGTGTTTCAGTAGCTGGTAATGTATATTGTCATCGCCCGCTGCAGTGTCATGAGCTTGCTCAAGAGCAGTATGTAGCTCATGTAATGAAAACACTTCATTATAATCTCCACCGATATTTGATTCGAAATTAAGTTTTGTCTTTTGATATCTCTGAAAGTCAGGGACATAACTTGCCGATGATGAATTTTTGGCAAGAGTTTCGCCAATTATATTTGCAATTTTATATTTGTCAGTAATTAAATTATCACCATCTTTAAGATGGTGAACAGCAGATTTTGAACCTTTGCCTTTAATTCTTTGAACCATGTTCCATACCTTAGACATTGGGGTGCGGGAATTTATTTTGGAGACATACTTTCTCCAAAATTGTCGTTTGTTTTGTTTAAAGGTACGACGCGCCTTTGCATTGAGCATTTTAAATTTATTTAAGTTATGGACAGTTGGATGATGGCGGAAATAATGCTCTGCCTTTTTCCTCGTTTTTCTGGCTTGTCTACAATCTGTATTAAACCATGGTTTTCGTACATGTGGAGTCGTAGAGGACTTTGGTATACACTGATCAGCTATTTCATTTAAAACGTCAGCAAAAAATGGAATGGGATCAGTTATATCACTGAAACATTCAGGTCGCAGTTTCGATTTACAAATAGTTTGATATAAAGACCAGTTAGCCTTCGAAAAATTCCATCTTGTATACGATGGAGAATCAGATGGAGGTATTTCTGAAAGGATAGTTGGGAAGTGGTCACTTCCACAAAGGTTATTATGAACAGACCAATCAAATTCATTCAGGACGTTAGAATGTGCAAGAGACAAATCCAGAGAAGAATAAAAGTGCCAGATGCAGGATGCAGATAGGTGCTTGAATCATCATTAAATATGCACAGGTCATTATTGGGAATGAAATCTTCAAGTATTTTGCCTTTAGTATTAGTGTTAGTACTGCCCCAGAGTGGGTTGTGACCGTTTAGGTTACCCATAATAACACATGGTTTAGGGAGTTGATCATAGAGTGATTGAAGATCAGTCTGTTGAAGTGCCGACGAAGGCGGAATATACAGAGAGCATAATGTAAATGCT